TGAATAAAGAAAATTATAAGAACACAGAAGCATATTATTTTCTTTTAAATCACTCTTCTTTTTATTTTAAACTTTGAACTTTGTGAAGAGAATTGAGAACTTCCACACGCCGGTGATTGCAACGGTCGACCGAAAATGGCGGCGTCCTATCGGCTTGCCATGAGGTCTTCCTTCTCGATACTATTTCTCGGTCACACCGTACACCGGTGATATTCCTAAGATAACGAGGAAGATGGACACTAACCTTTTGCTCGCTCCAGGAATGTACGATAATCCATTTTTTATTATTTTGATAATGGAAATGGTCAACCGCGGTGAAACCGTATTTATCAATTGGCAGCCAGGCACGAACTGTCGAAATTAGGTTACTTGGCTTCCTGCTTCGGTCCCGTATATAGGTCATGCGCATTATGGGTTCGCCTCTGCAGCATGACAACAGTCCCAACGTCTTTGACAGGTGATTGCCGGTTGACAGTAGATTTGTGCCGATTGTTATAAATTGTTGACACATTTTCGGTCGGTTGATAATTAAATAACAATAAATAGATTGATGTTTTATAATCAACCATAACGTGTGGAATTTTCTTGCGATAAATAATATAATTTTTGTACAACTCAACATTTCTGTATTATTTTGATTCTATACAATTCAAAGATAATAGTAAAGTAAAATGTTGAGTTCGATTCTGGCTACCGCATTTAATTTGTAATAATAATAAATTATAAATTAATTGAATAAGTTTCGGCGAAAACTTAATTTGGTCTTTATAACGTGATTATTTAAAAATCAACGTTACAAGCAATACACTTGGAACTAGTTTCCAACTATGAAACGAGTGGATTTCTCGCAGCCTTCAAGCAATTCACGTCTCGTCGAGGTCAATGTAGCAAGATATTCAGTGACAACGCTAGAAATTTTGTTGGTGCGGCCAGAGAATTACGACAACTTTTCATTGGGGCTTCTAAGACGTTCATCCCGTTTGCTGAACTGCTTGCAAATGAAGGAACCACCTGGACTTTCATCCCTGCTCACTCACCTCACTTCGGTGGGATTTGAGTTGTTGGAGAGACACGCATGACTTATGAAAAACAAACTACAGTGTTATGTCAAATAGAGGCATGCCAGAATTCCAGACCTCTTTATCCAAATTCCTCAGATGCAACCTCCCTCTCTGCCATCCTAACTGGTGGACCGCTTGTTGCCGTTCCTGAACCTCCCTTATTCAATGAAAATCCTACTAATCGATGGACACTGATTACAAAGATGAGGGACGACTTTTGGAATCGGTGGTCTCACGAGTACCTACACCATCTCCAACAGCGTTCCAAATGGTTGTTAGAGACTAATGCAGTAAAGGTTGGTGATGTTGTACTACTCAAAGTGGACAACCTTCCCCCCACAAAATGGGTTCTCGCTAAGATTCAACAACTACATCCAGGAGCAGATGGCCTTGCGAGAGTTGCTACCATTAAAACAAACACCGCTACCTTGAAGCGATCTTTTTCTAAACTTGCTGTCCTCCCAATTCGTGAGACTAATAACGAAAACTAAATAAGAAAATATTTCATATCAACGATCGAGTTTTTTCAAATAAGTTTGTCTACGACTGTTACTGCGTTTTCTTTTGACACAAACGCACCCGGGCAGAATGTTTAGAATTTCATTTATTTTTTATTTTTATGAAAAATCTATATTAAAAAGGAAATAATTCTATTAACTCCTGAATTAAGATTACCGCAAGTACACACTTTTATCGTGTTTCCTTTTAAAATTAAGGACCTGCGCAATGACAAAAATAAAGATGATTCAGATTTCCGCTTACTGCCTTGAGAGAACATGTGCTGGAGTTGAAAATTATAAAATCCGTTATTAAGTTGTTAATCAATTTACCTTGATAAACTAAACCTTCTTTGTTAATTATTATAATAAATTTTTTGTTAAAGTGAATATATATTCTAGTAAAAATTGAGTTAAAATAAACGTAGTTCATCTAAAGTGAAAATTGACTCGTTTTCATTTCCAATGGGCTCAACACTTTCAAATATTAAACAAACTTGAATTAAAATCTATCAAAAATTTACTATTGACAAAATAAACTTATTTACAATAAATCAATACAATCATTATTTTAAAACGTGATAAAAAAAGTTTGCTTGTGAACATTGTTTCAATATACTTAGTATTGGATCACAAAATATTATATATTTACTTTGTAAATACGCATTAAACTTATCATTTCGATTAATTTACTTCGATTTGTGGTACATTTAAAAATGTTTAAAAATACTTTTGTGTTATCTTCAACGTGTTAAAAAATTAATTTATGCAATAGTAAAAAACAGAAGTGTCCGATCACTTTTGTATTCACATAAAAAACTAAGTGCGGTCATAACACACACATGATATTTGTCACATCTCCAGTTGCTATGGAAACAGTTACTAAATTACCATTTTGATAGAGTTGATTATATCCGTTATAAAAGTTTTTCGTCAAAAAATGCTCTTAATGTCAAAAAAATATCTTAGAGCCTTCTGAACAGTTAAAAATAAGGGCGCCTATAGTGGGCATTGATTTGTTCTAATAATTAAAAAAAACTGCAACAAATTTTAATTCATTGTTATGCAATATGTTAAAGATTCTTTTCTTCCTTGTAGAATTTTTGTTGTATATCACACAATTTTTTATCGTTACAGAGTAACATACTTTAGGGGTAAGAAGAGTGATTTCAGATGTCCCTGCATGACTAAATATGCGGATCGTTAAATAAGGTCGTTGCACCCTTGCTGGAGATTTTTCTCTATAGCACGGGTGGTCATCTTAGAAGTCTTATTGACCAAAGAAATGCGTCGCTTACCCACCCTCTAAGTAATTCTTTGAAAGACTTAAAAATGATGAAAAGTGTAGCCTTGAGCAAGCCACAAACACATGATTTAAAAGGTAGTCCTAAGAATTGTGCCAGTAAAACAAAAAAGACGTTTATTATTTACTTAATAAATATTAAAATACAATTACCAGTGGAATTCTCATTCAAGATTAGTAATTTTAAACTTAAAATTCTATTTGTTTGTCAATTACTTTAATATTTTATTTATTTTAATTTTTAAAATTTATTTTACAATTTAAATTTGTCTATTTCGATAATAATTTAAATAGGTGTTATTCCTTTTGGTTGTATTATAATTTACACAGAAAAAATCAGACTGACTTTTGTTACAACTCATTTGGAAATCGGTCTCGAAATGAGTAATCGTAACTTCAAGTGACTCAAAATGAAAAAATGTCAGGTTCTATTTTTTTGTATGTTGACAACAACTGTAGAAAATGTCTGTTGCATTGCGCCATTATTTTTTTTGTGTTTCGCATATTCCGTATTATATGGTTACCATCTTTGTCAATCAATTCACAAGTGTCTAACCTAAAAATTTGTTTTTCATTTCTCATAAATGCAATAAATCGACTCCAAGTATTAACGTTTTGACAAGTGCAACGTTTTTATTTATTATAAACAATTATTTTAATTCATATTTTTATGAATTATTCCCAGTTATTCCAATTAATGTTATTGAGTCAAAACGCGTCAACCGTGATTAAATTTTTTTTAGATTTTTGGAAAAGTAAAAACATTTATGAAAGTCAGTAGTTCACAACGATCCAAAAAAACACTTTTAACCGTTTTTCGAAATTTTAAATTTTTATACCTTTTTTATAATAACAAATTTTTGCATCATTTGAGAAAAAAATTAATAACTCAAAACTGTTTTGCTAGAAACTAATGGGTATTTTTTTGGTAGTTAGTGAATATACACTCTTTTAAATAAATTTAATTGTGAAAAAAATAGTGGATAATGGAGAAAATAGTGGATTCACTTGCTATATGAACCGACTCAATACAAATAAAATAAATAATAATTGTCATTCACCTTGGGTTATATCCCTTTTTCACACTTGAAATAGTTGATTTATTTAGAATTTTAATTTACTTCGATTCTATGAGCAAAATTGAATAAAGTTTTAATTTTTAAAATTAACAAATTTTACATATACTAACAAGGTGAAGTCCGTAAATTAACTACTATCTATAAACTGTCTCATCGATATAGTTTATTACTATATGAACATGGCTTATAAGGATATTAGATAAACTTACGGTTTGCTTTTGATACCACTTAAGGATCCAGATTTTGAGGAGGAACAAAGATTTCTCGATATCCCTTCGACATTATAAGTGTTATTACCTTTTGGAGCTGCTACAAAATTGAGAGAGCGACGCTATCATTTTTTTGCGAAAAATCATTATTTTGCAATAAAATTGGTATAAATTTTAAGGATTTTTTTATAAACAAACTTGAACTCCAGAATCGAAAAGAGCGTAAAATTTAAAGTCAGAAATGTGCAGTTTTATTAAAAAAATTTGTTTATATAAAACAATAGCTATATAAATATAAAACAATAGTCTAGGTAAATTTTCCGTCCTGGCGGTCGTTACTGGGTCTTTTAATATCTTAAAAATGTTTTTAACGAAGTTTAAAAGAAACATTTTGAACAATGTTGCTCTTATAAATAAACTAAGTAATTGTTTTAAAAAATATTGCTAGCAAATATTGTTGATTCTGTTTATTCGAAATATTTCATTTTCTATTATACAAGAGTAGTAGAATAACGTAACTTTGAAAATTATTGGATTATATGTATTGCTATTCTGCCTCTGAAGAACAGGTGGTTTGACGTTTATCGCCGCAACTATACATGTACCTACACATATCTGGAGATTCGCAACAATAAAGCACACATCAATTTGGTGCAATTTTTTTACATCAATCTTGTTAGTAATTTATGTTAATAGGTTAATAAGCCTAATATTTAAAGTCAATAGAAATTCTATAAATTATAATACGAAAGTTTCATAAAGCCAATAAACATTTTGCGCTTGCGTCACCTGTAAGAGGAACAACCATCACGGCAGCGCGACGTTGACGGCGCTCACTTCAATCTTCGCCGCGTGTCCGTCGATGGATTCAGACCGAAAGTGAGTACAAAATAAAGGCAAGCATGTCGGAAACACATAGCTGCTAAAACTTTTTTAAACAATTCGTCAGTTAAGTCGTATATTATTTTCTATTACTCCATCATTGATTTATGAGTGTCGTTCTTTTTCTGTATTTGTTTAAATTAACCTACCCTTTCTTACAAGTAATAAGATGCAAAAGAATCGGTCGAAGTACCATATAATTTGTTACGTTAATCCTAATCAGAAGCTCAAGAGATTCTTCTTATCGATTTTAAAAGTCTCTCAAACTTATTTCTTCGTTTAATTTAACAATTTTTATTTAACGTCTCTAATGCAAAATGTGATGTCCCTTATAATTCAATTTCTCATTTTTATACCAACCTTAAAAATGTTGTGAATGCTTTTTTAGTTTTAAATAAAAATATTAAAATTTAGTATAAGTGAAGTATTTCGGTTAATCTTATAAAATTTTGTAACAAAATCCTTAATATTTAAAATTTATTCTGTATTTTGAATTTTGGAATTTTTTTTCCTTAATAGTTAATTCAAAAGAGTTTCAAATTTTATAACTTTTGAAATTATCAAGTTTTCCTTCTTATAACGTTTTTAGTTATCAAAAAAGTGACAAACTTTCAAGTTGATGTTTGAATTCGTGAGAATAACGAAAATAAGTGCTAATTCGCCTGCAAAAAATATTGGAGCTATACAGTTTGTAGTTCAACTGGCCTACTTCATCAAGTTCGAAAGCTACACTTCACATAGAAGGTAAATACTATTTTTAATTAAAAGACTGCATCACGTTAATAAAAAAATTAAATTTCAATTTAATTTAAACAAAAATTACGATTAATTTTGATCTCCATTGCTCTTAATGTGTCTACTCAGATTTTAATATTAATCCACTATTAACAACATATATTTATTTAAAACACTAAAATAGACGATAATATAAATTATTCAGATTCATTTTATTTTAGAATCTTAAAAATTAATATTACTCTGCATATAGTAAAAGAGATATTGAAGAACTTTATACTACATTAAAAAAATATTTTTTTAAGGCAACATTGTGAGACGACTAGAAATTACTGGTTAAAAAATACTGGTAAATTTTTATTTAACGTAATCAATTTTACTCTTAAAATTTACTGACAAATTTCCAATTTTATACTTAAATAGAAATTGGTCTATAATCTGAACTTTGTAACAGGTACGTGAATGTACTTTCATACTTATAATGCTATTTATAAGAGCCGATATTACTTTAAGGATTTAACTTTACATCTCCCTATCACTATTAAGTTCAATTCTATGTTATCCAATTTCTTCTATCAGAAAGAAATTACATGGAAATTTACATTTTTTACAATTTCAAATTATTTAAATTAAATAAAATACCTTTAGTATAATTATTCTGGCAGAAGAGTCAGTGACTCTATTACCTGAACGGCACATTCAAAAATCGCGCCATTGCCATGTATACTCACTGATACCAGAAGACTTACGAATTGTCATTTTTAAGTGTAAAATTATAAAACTTGAACGCTTTGACGACAAATTGTCCTTAAATTTTGTAGGCCTATTGCAGTCATTGATACCTCAAATCTGACACAACAATTCTCGAATATATCCACTTTGTTATTTTACATTTTTTCAAAATTTGAAAAATTTATGTTTTGACAAACAATGTATATGTCGTAGGCAACTAGAAGAATCCGGCATTAAGCTTAATTCCTAGGCAATAAGCTTACTGCCGGCAATTAGACGAATACACGACGAAATCGTTCAGATTTGTCTATTTGCCTAGGCAGTAAGCTTATTGCCCGATGTAGATTCGGCAATTAGACGAATCACATTAGAATCCATTTGCAGTGCACAAACGTCCTATAAAAAATTAATTAAAAACAATAATAATAATAATAATAAATCATTCTGGACAGAATTAAATATTTCTTGGGTAAAAAAATATTTCTTGAGTCTAATAAACATTTCTTGGATCAATTAAATAATTCTGGACAGAATTAAATATTTCTTGAGTAAAAAAAATATCTCCTGAGTCAAATAAATAATTTTTTTACTTTTGCATAAAGAAAAATATTTCTCGACTAAAATAAATTTTGTTCAAGTCTATCAAACAATTTTTGACTAAAATATTCCTTTAGTGAAATAAATATTTATTGAGTCAAATAGAGATTGTTTGATTTAAATAAATATTTCTTGACTCAAATAAATGCTTCTTGACTCTTATAAATATTTGTTATCATTGAGAAATATTTCTTGAGTCTAATAAATATTTTTTGACTCAAAAAGAAATAATTCTTGGATGAAAAAAAATATTTCTTAGGAAAATATAAATTATTTATTTGACTCAGGAAATATTTTTTTTACTCAAAAAATATTTAATTCTGTCCAGAATTATTTAATTGATCCAAGAAATGTTTATTAGACTCAAGAAATATTTTTTTTACCCAAGAAATATTTAATTCTGTCCAGAATGATTTATTTCAGTTAAGAAATGTTTATTTGACTCAAGCAATATTTATTTTAGTCGAGAATTATTTATATGAGTCAAGGAATATTATTATCATTATTATTGTTTTTAATTAATTTTTTATAGGACGTTTGTGCACTGCAAATGGATTCTAATGTGATTCGTCTAATTGCCGAATCTTCATCGGGCATTAAGCTTACTGCCTAGGCAAATAGACAAATCTGAACGATTTTGTCGTGTATTCGTCTAATTGCCGGCAGTAAGCTTATTGCCTAGGAATTAAGCTTAATGCCGGATTCTTCTAGTTGCCTACGACATATATAACACTGGTTTACAGTGAAACTGACAATCGAAAAAAAGATTTTTTTTTTATTAGTAGAGATTTTTTGAGTAAAAAAACCATAGTCTCAATTTTTTCCCCTCGTACAGTTTTGCATTTTCGAGATTATAGTCGATTGAAGATCAAATTTCATGAAAACTTTGATGATTTTGAAACACTTAAGTAACTTATGTTAATATCTTTCACATCAAATTGTTTAGGTTTTAAATTTTATATTGATAGTCTATTTTATTACAAAACTTTAAATTCAAGTCAGTTTTTAAAATTTCAAAATGGCGGATCCATTATGGCGGAAGGATTTTTTAAAAATCGATCGATTTCGCCTCACATTTAGTTCATTTTTATCAAGCATGAAAACAAATCAATTAATGTATATAAAGCATACAATATACCAACTAACACGAGAAAAAATTCTATTTTTCGCATTATATTCTAAGAACCTATAAGTTTAAAAATTCTATATGATTAATTTATTTCTCAATGAATATAAGGTATAAAAAAATTTAATATAATAAAAAATAAATAAACGTTTGAACTTGTGTGGTTTCTGCCCAAATTGAAATAAAGATCATAGAAAATGTATTGAATTAAATCAAGCATCAAAATTTTATTAACCATTGTGTTCATACCCAGGTACCACGACTATACGTTTGGAAATATTATAATTTTGTCTTTTTGTGACAAACACTCGTTTGTTCTCAAGAGACCTGAGCTGTGGTTTTCTTTTTAAGTTCACTCCTCCTGGTACAATACCCCTTTTTAGCACCCAACAGTAGTCAGCCATCATATTTACGTCCCATTTGCCTTGATAGCGGCGCTCCATTTTTTTAATATCTTGATGAAACCGTTTTCCTTGTTCCTCGCTACATTCTTCTAAATTATTAAGAAAGTATCTTAGATGTGAATATAGAAAATCCATCTTCAAACTCATCAAGCACAGTAATTTTTGAAAGTTTGAAATCATATAATTTAATATTAGCTCCCAATTCTCGCTCTTATGATTATCAAGAAATTTTCTAATAACTTAAAATTAAGCTATGCATTTTTTCATTTTTACTCATTACAGTGATAAATTTCTCATCTTTTAACATTTTGCAAATTTGTGGCCTATCAAAAATTCCTTCTTTTAGTTTCGCATCAGAGATCTCTGAAAATTTTTGTTCTAAGGTACTCGAAAAATATCGCTTCTTTTTTCTAAGGACATAGAAACTAGTTTATCAAATTCAACCCTAGTTTTATATATAAAAGTAGAGGAATTACCTTTGAGGGTTGAACTGGAGGTTTTTGAAGATATTTTTGAACCTGGTGTAAAAGATGTTCTTTTGGGGCATTTTTTTGTACGTAATGATTTTTTTGATCTCTACTGTAACACAAAATAAAAACAGGGTCTTTTTGTAAAACCTGCTTGTTGTCCTAGCATAATACTTATAATCGTAAAGTCTTCACAAATTTGACAATTGTGTTCTTTATATTTAATTTTGCCCAAAACTAATTTTTGTTAGTTCTGTTGAATGGGCTATGGGAATTAAAACAAAAACATTAGTGTCATGAAGTTGTACTCCCTCTAGACTTCTTTTAGAAGGATCAATGAATAATCTCCTATTTTGATCTTCAGATACATACATTTAATTTCAATTCATTCATTAGTCCTCCAATGTCACCAATGACGGTTCATCATCTTTTGCATAATATTTCCGAGGTTCCTTTTCTATGTCACTCTAAAAATATAAAAAAAACCGCTGCCAAGTTGTATATTTTTTAAATAATTTTGGTGCTCATTTAATGAACACTTTGCTTCCTCATAGAGATAAAAATAATAGAAATATATGATTTGTTTTTCTTTCAACCATGAGTCCCACAAAATTTCTGCATGCTTGCCTTGACGATTCAATTTTTTTTTTAATTTTACAAAGAAAAAACATTATAGACACTATTAAAATAACAAATTAAAAAAATTAAATAGAAACAGTTTTTAATTAGTTTAAATTTTATTAATTAGTATCAGCACATTCACAATAAATTAAAGAATATACTTGCCACTATATTTATTGTTAGTTATAATTGTGAATATATACATCATTTTAAAAGCCAGAGTTTTGCAAATGTGTCAGTAATTTGTAAGGAAATGGCACAATTATTTTACACTAATTATTATTTAATTGAAAAATTCCATATTCCTCCTTAGAATTTCTGTAGAGATTCCATGGAATTCGACTACAAAAATGGTTTTGAAAAATTGTCAAGACCAGCGTCGTTTTTCAAGACACACATTTTTTCTGACTCGAAAATAAATTTTAGGAAATATCTGATTATCTAGGTGTTTCGAAAAAAGCTCTTTTTTAATAAAAAAGCTCAAATTTGATGATGGAAAGCTCAAATTTGATATTCGACTCCAAAAATTGTGGAAATTAATTTACAAGACTAGTATTGTTTTACAAGAAACAAATTTTTTCTGTATCGAAAATAAATTCTAAAAAAGTTCTGAGTGTTTCGGAAAAGCTTTTCTTTAATAAAAAAGCACCAATTTGATAAAGTGAAACCCAAATTTGATATTCGACTCCAAAAATTGTGAAAATAAATTTATAAGACTAGCGTCGTTTTTCAAGATACAAATGTTTTCTGACTTGGAAATAAATTCTAAAAAATATTTGATTATCTAGATGTTTCGGAAAAAGCTCTTTTTTAATAAAAAAGCTCCAATTTGATGTTAAACTTAAAAATTGGGAAAATTAATTTACAAGACCAGCGTCGGTTTTTAAGTCACAATTTTTTTTTTTGAATCGGCTATAAAAGTTCTGAGTACCTCTGTATTTCAGAATAAGTTGTACTTTAATAAAAAAGCACAAATTTAATTTTAAAAAAGCTCAAAAACCTTGTATTTAATTAAAAAAGCTCCGATTTGATGAAAGAAAGTTCAAATTTGATATTCGACTA